GCCATTTCAAACAACTACAGCTTTCTCTATGAAATTCAACTCTTGTAGCAATCAATTTCCCTTGAAGTTATCCACAACTCCTTCTTGCGCTCTTATCCTTTTTCTTTTGCTTTTTTTCTAATATATGCAACGCACCACAGCTGCTGTTATCGCTTTCTTTTTATTGACTGTTTTTAACCGATTTGCACTTTCACTCTCTCTCCTCTTAAGTTGCTATTGTTATTCGTAAAAAAATTTCTTTATTTTCTGTGTTTACTTCAGGGAAAATTACTTGATTTTCTAAATGCCTGCAATTTGTTAATTTTTTTTTTGTATAATTATTTTTTCTAAAATTTTAAATGACATAATAGAAATTTACCAGCCTGCTTTTGAAAAATACACCTGGAACTTTTTTTTGTTTGTTTGATCTCGTGTGCCCGGCAAATTTTTTCAATTCTACCGCTTAGAAGAACGATAACGGGCAGCTTGATTTCAAAGAATACAAGGCATAAAGCTAGAGATGAGCACACTAATGAAAGATACGGTCTTAGAGCAAAATTTATGTCGATATGTTACTATTGTTTTGCTTAATTCCCGTTACGTTGCGTTATTATAGGGCATATTATCACGTATAGAGTTATACGACACTTACTTGTATGTAAGCCAAGGAAAAAAGGTGATATGATGTATTTTACAAAAATTTATCGTTTCGTTTGACTTTAGTTTATTGAAAATTTTAGAATATATTATGTTTACATTTAAAAATTTGCAATTATAAAATGAAATGAAAATGTTGTCAATCAACTTATGTAAAGCTAACAAATCGGAGCATATTTAATCCAAAACAGTTTAATTATGCTATTATCTAATGTATCCTAAATAAAAATATCACATCGGGTGTAACCTAAGACATTTCTTGATTTAGTTTCGTTTTCAAAACTTATACAATTTTCATAGTATCTCCTATATGATCATTTAATATGACAGAGGATGGATCTATCATAAACTCTTGTGAATATTACGGATATCCGCATTTGATGTACTAAAACTAGTGTAAGTGGAAATATGGTAGCCGAAATCAAACGAAATTTTCCAAACGTCAAAATGGAAAGATTCTAATAAATGAACAAAAAAATATTAAAATTTTATCCCCAAAGCTTCCAAAAACCGCAAATTTTAATCCTATTAAAAATTTACCCATTTCTTTGAAAATAAAAATTTCTCAATAAATTAATTTTAATAAATTTTAAAAAATTTCGTACAAACTTTTATTAAAAATAGTTAAAGTTTAATTAATAAACTATTAACTAAGTTTTCATTCAGATTTTTTTCCAGTTTCATATAAAAGTAAATTGATAAATAAACAAATAAACAAGACAAATATAGAGTTATGGAAAGTTGGCAAAGAATTAATGTATATCTTTAACATATTTCAGTTGAAATATATAAAAAATATTTGAAAAATTTGCAGGCTTTATAGCGTTTCTTACAGTTCGAATATTGAAACATATCCGTTTGGCACGTTTCTTAGTTTGTATGTTGGGAAACACTGCCGAAAATCATAAAAACATTATATCTATTTCATCTAATGCATAACAATTTTATTAACGATTTTATACGGTAACGACGGACGGTAAGAGAAAATCCTACCTATGGCGAACAGCCAAACGAATAATCTTTCGTTTGAAATGAGACAACACTACATACATTGATTGGCGAAAAAGAGAAAATTCTCGGATTTTTATTAATGCTTGGAAAAAGATTCATATGCGCTTAGAACTGCATTCACTTATTTATGAATATTGTTTAAGTAAATGAAATGAAAATTTAATTCGAAATGGCAAGGGATTAAAAGCTGACGAAGTAAATTTATGTTTAATTTGGAAAAATCAATACCACCGATTTTATGTGTGGTGTGTATTTTCGAAAATGAAGATATGTATATGTTTGTACATATGTTTATGAATTTATGTCTCATCTATATAAATGAATGCAAACGATGGATACCCTTGTAAGAGTAATGAACCAATATTTTAAAGTCTAGAAATTTCGCCTTGTATGCGTCGAAATCTTTCATTAACACAATATTATAAGGCGAACGGCTCTTTTTTTCTTTGACGTGTTTGTGTCGTACTGCTTTAGGGTTACAGATGTTTTTATCCTACGCATTGTCAGCCATTTTCAGGAAATGAATAACCTTTAAGGAATATAATATTTATTCTATATAGTCCAATTTATGCGAAGCCAAATATTTCATTTTAGTAAAATGGGATAAGCTCTGAATTGTTCTTTCGGCCAAAAGGAGCATTTTATAATACTGACTTGCTTTAAGATTTTACGAGTTGGTTTATTTTAATTACTTCCACTAATGGGGCTTATTTAGTCTACTTCCTATTGAAGGCAATCTGAATTGTTTACTTTTGATATTGGGTAGGATTTGGTTAATAAATTTCACAATTTTTTAAAATTAAAGCCTGAGAAGAATATAGTTTTCGCATAAAAATCAATACTTGTTTTTTCCATAAGCGAAATGTGTGTGTGTATATGTGCAAAGCGCTCTTCTAAAGGCACAGCTCTATTGTTCTGTTTTCGCCTTCGTTCTCGCCGAATCAAACTCTATATGCGTTCCCGAAATGTGCGGTTCAAGTCAATCTAATAGTACGCTTTAATGTAATAAAGTGGTTGTAGATAAAGCATATATATTCTTATTAATCACTCTCCCCTTTTTGTAATGTCTGCTCGTAGGGTATATTCTTGTGCAATTTTATTAACTATTTTCAATGGAATGGTGCTTATATATTAATAATAAGATAAATTTTATTTACACTTATTTTACTTTATACTATTTGTAATTCTTATGTGATTTAAAAATCAATTTCTGAAAACATGCTGTTTTAATAATCTCGATCGTATGTCGATTTAATATACCCATAAATTAGGTAAGGACCATAAACTGTTATACTACATTTTATGTATACAAGAGTGAAAAACAAATAAAGCCAACTATGCATATACCAAACATGATTGTGCGCAGCTGCCAAAACGAGTAAAAGGTAGTGACAGAAATTTCTCGAACGTACTTTTATGAGGCATTTTCGGGTATAAATAGACCTGCAAACGCTGGATTCATCATTTTGTATTGGAGAAATTGTGTCGTTCATATCTAAAAAGAGTGAAAAAGTGTTGAAGTATAAAATAGTGAAAATTTGAAAAAGTAAAATTTTTCTTTTTGTTTAGTTAAAATGAAGTGTTGTTATAATTTTTGTAAAAAGAGAAGCGTTTTTTCATGGCTGGTTTGCCAAAATAATTTGAAAAATTATTGAAGGTATAAAATGCATTGGGAAAATATCTTGAAAGAAAAATCGAGATCTACATGAGAGCTGGGCGTATAATAAAATTCGGCAAGCGAGGCTAATTTCGAAGAGTCTAGAATATTCCTGCAGAATTCTCTGAGAAGGGAGGACGTGAATTTTTCAGAAGTGAGGCAAAAGGGTCTTTAAATTAGAAAGAAAAAAAATAGGTAAATTTTTCAGATTTATTGTATCTGATTCTTAGTTCTAAAAACTGCAAATTTTACTAACATGTAGGCATTTTAAAGATTCTTTTTTTTTTTTTTTTTTATAAAAAAAAATTGATTTGCGCAGTTGATTTATCTGTGTGAATTTTCATAAATCATTTTTTTGCGATATCTTTGTTTGAAAAACATTTTGATGACGTATATAGAATTCCTTCTTCTTGCTCTTAATGTATATTGCCGGAAATAACGGGGCTCCGGAATTTTTTTTCGGGGTAATTTGATTTTGGGTATTTTTGATATTTAAAGACTTTCTATTATTGAAACTAGATGAGCTTTGCAAAAAAAAATTGCTGATATCAACGTGAATATTCATAAGTGGAAATTTTCCACCGACATTTGACTTCGAAGATCTCTTAAATTTCTCTGTGACGAAATTAATTTGCCTATAAAAGCAAACTAGCGATATTCCATATCCATATCTTTTACCTATATGGCATAAGCCATTTGAAAGAAAGAGACGTTGCGAATTTTTTTTGTATATACCATGTTTCTCCTATGTAAATAGTTCTTGTTCATTTGCTCTCTCTTTTTCTGAATGAAACTAAACTGCAACTTGAATATTTCACGCCCAAGTTTTATTAGTATAGATGTTTATTATTAAAGGAAATTCTCATGTTAACCAATCCTTGTACGTCAACGAATTATCATTACTTCCGTATTTGTTTCTCATTTAGATTAAGATATTTACTAAATAATTAAGACTTTTAACACTTTTCACCTACATTTCTTAACGTATGAAAACAATTTCTTTTTTTAATATATAGCATTTGTTTGGGCAGCGTTATTGATTTGCATTTCTGTATCATATGTAACTAAATACGTAATTGAAAGCAACGTAAAACGTTTATTGCAAAGCTAAAATGGAACGCGTACCTATGTGGGGAAAACGTAACGTAACTGTTTTTCCTTTTTTGAGAAAAAGCCTATGATTGATATGATAAACAACACCACAACAACTGACAATATTCAGTATAAAACTGAATAGCTAAGATCTTTAATCTAAGACAAACAATGCGAGATATGATGATGAGAAATATCGAAACACAGGCAGTCAGACAGGTCTTGCCAAAAAAAAAAAAAAAAAAAACAGTCCATGAGTATCAGTCAGGCAGGCAAACTCTCAGTCAGTCTTTTAAGGCGATTATATAGAGGCCTTGTCTGGTAACCAATAAACGTATCTATAGAAGGCAGCCCAAGTACAAAACAGAAAATCTTAAAGAATTTTTTTTGTTTGATCTGTCGATGACAAATACATCTTTAACAAGTACAACCACGACGACAAATTAAGCGTGTATGGGTTAACCGTATAATGGTTGCGTGTAATTGATTATTCATCGATTAATGATGATATATAATTAGAGCGACGGCGGCATTTTCTGTTAACGTTAAATTTGTACTAAACACTAAATTAAATTAAAAAGCAGCAGGGAAAACTCGTACTAAACATTAAATTTAAGAATTCGTTTTTCTTTATTTGATTTTTTTCGATTTGTGGTCTTTTGTTTACCTTCTTAAAAATCCCCCTTTTTTTTTAATTTATCGAGAATCCTCACCGTTTTGCTAAAAATTATTTAAAAAAGTTCGTAACAAAATATATGAAATAAATATTCAGATCTTTTTCTAACAACTCTTGAAAACGTCTTTAATTTATTAAAAAAAAAAAAAAAAAAAAAAAAAGACGCCGCAACTTTGAATTATTTTATGAAACAAATTCATAATACAAAAACATAATGTGAGTACAGTTAAATTTAAAAAAAAAAAATATTCCTTTTAAAACCATTTAAATGATAATTTCACCCCTACAAAAAACAATAGCGTAAGAAGGGTTAAAATATTTCAAAAAATAATTAAAGCTTACACACACAACATTATAGGATATGAAATGGTCGAAATAAAATGTCATCGAAAAGAGAATCGTCGGTCTTGACAGGGCTGATGTAAGAAAAATATACATTGAACAGAAAAAGAAAAACAGCGTCACTTGTAAAAAAATAAAAAATAAAAAATAAAAAAAGAAAATGAAAAAAATTAAAATAAAAATCACTCACAATTTTTGAAAATTGTAAAAAAAGTAAAATATTGCAAACTATACATGCTAAAGCGAGTATTAAAACGACGGATCGAGCGTGAGTTGTTGAATAACAAATAATTTGTCTTAAGAGTAATCGAATGCAACTTTATGAAAAGGTTTAAGAAACTTAAGAATAGCCAATCAAGATTAAAAAGGTCTTTCGTATAAAGCAATACATAACATAACATGCAATTTGAACATAGACTTTTTAAAGTACAAACCATTTAGCTGGAATATCGATTTCGATTCTGTAAATATCATAGTTGCGAAGAGTAGAATGAAGATTATTGTGATTGAAATCCGACAACTTCGGTCGAGGGGGATCAAGTGTTTTTAAGGCAAAATTTTGTATTTATTAATTTTTTATGCATATATATTTTGTAAGATAAATGCAATTCTTCCATTATCGACTTTATGCCGACTGAGTTGTAAAGATTACCGCAAAGAAAGTAATTCGCTTTCCATGAAACTTAGATTATTATAATACCAACTTCATCATATATTGTATTGAGAATTAAGAAAAACAATTTCATTTGCATCAGATAGTAGACATAGTGAAAAAAAATTAAAATTCAAAAATTTTAAAAAGGAAAGTGTCTAAACTAACATTAATCTTGCCGAGACTTTGGAAAAGAAAAAAGGAAGAAAGTATTGCACGTAGGATGTAAATGAATGTTTAATGACATGCGTAAATTATATAAACTTGAAAAAATTGAATGAAATGTAAAAATTTAAAAATATTAAGTAGAATACACGGGTTTAGTTTTAATTATCTAGAAGTAATTAGCGATTACCGTCAGCAGGTTTTACTTTTAGAAAATGTATTTCGATTTTAAAAGGGCGTCTTGATTCAGTAGGCCAGTTTTTCTTTAATACGCACTCTTGTTTCTTGTGTAGTCAGTTAGCGGAATTGAAGAGAATACAAACTAGTCTTTACGCAAGTATAAGTGTGTTAAGGAAAAACTTTCAAACTTTGTACTTTTTCATCGATAATAATTATGCTTCCTTGTAGATGTTTATAATTAAATTCAATGAAGGTTTAATTCTTTTCCCATATGTAGTAAAGATCGTTATAAATTCTGAGAGATTTACAGAGATATTTTAAATTCTTTAAATATTATTTCTTTCTTTACGTATCCGTATTTTTCGTTTTTTGTACGCTTCCTAAATTCTAATATTCTTCAAAGTAGTAGATTCAACAATGTTTCATTTTTTTTTTTTTTTTTTTTTTTGTATTTTTTAATGTACCTCATCAACTTCAAATTTCAAAGTTTTAATTGAACACACCTTTTAAGTAGAAATATAAATGAAGGCAGGGGCAATGAAGTCAATGTACCAGAAACTATTACTATAGTAATTTCCAGGGCTTGACATATTTTCTTCGAATACCACTTCAGATTCTCTTTTGTGGAAAGGTAGATTAGGAACTTTAATGTCTGAAATCTTCGATGATTAGCTCCATCGCATCATATTTTCAAGAACTTTAGGTTTTTTTGTATTCAAGGAGTGGCGAATGTACTTAATTTAAGATTTACAAAAAAACTAAAGGCATATTAATCAAAATTTGAAAACATAAATAATTTAGCAATACAAAATCATGCGAAATATATAAGTCGGCCATTGTTGAACCGTTCTCCCAATGCAAAATTTTTTTTTAAAAGTTAAGGGTTTTTTTTTTAATCGGACGGATCCGCACTAAGTTAGCTTAAGTAATATTTTTCAAATTGAGCCATAAACCGACTGTTTGGTATAGAACGAAGGACTATTCAAAATAAATGATGAAAACTACTTCAAGTCTAGTCTCATAAAATTTTTCAAAAAGTTTATAAAAAAAGCAATGAGGTTTCCCTTATATGCAATTTATGTTAACAAGATTCTAAAGAAGAACTTTCAAAATATTGTAATTTTTAAATTTTCTCTAAGAACATATATCTTAAGCTCGAGAGCGAAAACTAAAAGTAAAATAAGAAAAAAATGTTAATGAGATTGGAATTTGGGGTAGGAAGATTTTAATTAAAAATGCATTTGCCTAGTACTCGTTACATACAAAGCTTTGGAAAAAAGTTATTGAAAATCAATTATTCTAATATGTCAATATTTTAAGCTTGATGCATTTACTCATCATATTTCATTCAACAAAAGCTTTTACGGGCGGGGGCATTGTTAGAAGTGCCCCGATAACCTTTTTCACAACATTACTAATCCTTTTTCAAGACTAGAACTATTTTATGGGTCAACCGTAATAATCCGAATTTTTTAAGTGAAACTCACACCACTAATTCAATGCGCAAGAGAGAGCTATTCTAATACTATTCCAATGCCACTTGCACAGGCAGAGAAAATGTTCGGTCATTATCAGCGATCAGCTTGGCAGTTGAAGGCTTTGTATAACGTTGACAATGATCAGAGGGGTTTGCGGTTTTTCTTAAAAGAGTTGACGAGCTCCTTTTTAATGGAACGTCTAGGTTCGCGATATATCGCAACTTTTCGTAACTAGGCTTGAGATTCACATTTGTCAGATATGACAAAAAATGGCCTGTGGTTTATAACTTCTTAACGCACAAATATACTTGCCACAGAGCTAAATATGGTTGCTTGCACTACTTCAGTGTAGAGGTCGAGTTTGATAACTACCACTTGCCCGCAATAGGGCATAAAACTTTGTCGAGGGTTTTTTCTTTTTAGTAGGAATCGCATTTGCATGGTACCGACGACTGATAATTAAAATATTTTTCGAAAACAAAGCTTCCACTTGTGCCATTTTTAATATAATTTGAATATATTCTAGTAGCTAAGAAGCAAACTAACTTAAATTATTAACATAACCCTCTTTAAATCCGTTTAAAAAAAAAATAACTAAGGCATTGTAAGGATAATTTAACTTTAAATTAACGAAAGTAAGAAACTAAAGTAGAAAATAGTTGCAATAAGTACAATAATATGAATGCATTTAAAAAATTTTATACATTTCATAAAACATTAATTCGAGCAAAACGATTTTTTAAAAAGAAAAGAAAATGTTGTAAAAAACAAAATTCAACCGAAAAATGAATGAAATTTTTTATGAATGGTCAATATTAAAAGGAAAGAAGACAACAATAAGACACAATTATATAAGTACATAATTTAGGCACAAAAAGTTCGGCAATACCAAAAGTTCATAAAATAAAAATAAATTGAAATAATTTTGCGAAAAAAAAATATCACAATAATCGAATACAAACATAACACACTTTTTCGAACCTTGTTATCTCTAGTTGAAAATGACAATTAAATATAATGCCGGAGGCAAACACCCATAGCCAAACAAAACCGTTAAATTTTATATGATTTTATATGACCCGTAACTAGAAAGAAATTTTGCATAAATTTCCAATTACATACAGAAAGTAATTTTAAACAATTCCAAAAGCGAACTAAACTTTTTAGAATTTTTTTTTTCTTTTTAATGAAAGCATTCGACGAAAATAACATACATAAATGTAAAGGGAAAGAAATACCTGAAATCAATTGCGCTACTTATATGAAACTCTTGTATATTGAGTACGTCTGTAGAGGTTTTTTAATTTGCATGTCGGAATACGGTTATAAAAGCGTGATTATAATAAAAAAAAAAAAAAAGGTTCTCGACTAAGAATGTCTAACCTTGCTCTCCTAAAAATATATATATATATATATATGCATTGCAGCTCTAACCTACAATACAATGCGGATAATATAAGCGAACAGTGGTAAATACCTTCTTCATTAGTACAAAGTTAAGGTTCTTTTGGTTTGGGTTGGTTAAAAACATGAAAAATAGTATCAAAAAGTGGCTTTTTTTATTCTACATTACGATATTGTAAAAAAATGTAGCGTAAAATTCAAAAAAAATATATTAAGCAAAACCAATGCAACAAAAAATAAATAATTAAAAGAATAATTAAACTGAAATAAAATAAATATCTTATCTAACCCAAGGAATGAATGAGGACATATTTATTAAAAGCACCTAAAGGTTTCCTGGTTGATTAAAGATTTTGTCAATTTTCTGCGTAAAAATTATTTGGTTCAAAACTGCGTTTACTATTAATTAATGCTTGGGCTTGCAATGCAAAGACCCGTTTAGAAATGTCGACGTTTAATTTAATGTTTGCGCTTATATATATTTAGGGGTATAAGCGATTCTTATGGTTTTGTTCTACGAAAAAAAGTTTCAACTTTAATTAACTTGAGCGAAACTAAAAACAAATTATATCGCGGTAAAAATGTAGGAATGCCACAAAATGAAGGCAATGCGCCAATTAAGATAAAAGAAATGTATTAATGGTTACAACAAGCACAAAAGATGATAAATGGTATTGATTTAGAATTTTGCAGAAATGATTTAAAAACCAAATCGCAAGGGATAGATAGATCGAAACTAGTATTCAATATAAAAATGGTGACGTATTTCATTTAAAAGAGGTTACAAAAGTAATAACAAAAGCCAAAAGCGGTCAAGATTCATCGATCTGCGTAGAGTAAAATGAGTTTTTAATGCAAATTTAATATATCTTTGGGAAAGTGCTTTATTGGTATTATGCGATATGCGTAGTTGAATTTCAAATTATCATCTAAACATGTAAACGAAGCGTACTTCGAGCTGGAAATAGAATGCAAGAATTAAGGCGGTTCGCGTCCACAATTAATATAATTTGTAAGAGAGAGAGCGTCTCTATCTCAAGGTGTAAATTTACGTTCATTCTATTCGCGGACCAACGTCCGCTTGGTTAACTAATTTTGAAGAGTTTGAATAAAAAAGCGCCGATAAAGTCACTCCTACTACCTACCGCCCTAAGGGTTTAATTCGAATAAAGGTCAAGCAACAACTATACGAAATATAATATAATATGAGTGAAAATGCGTGATTTAAGGTTTTTTTAAGAATTACATGTAGGCTATTTGCGAGGGCAT